AATCATATTTTCTGTGTCGGACGGGAAATTGTCGTTCAGGTATTCGTCACGCAACGCTTCGGCATAAACATCCTCTTGAGCCATTGCTTRGCTTAATTCRTGTTCAATTTTAAGCTTCTCCAGCACCCGTTCCTGCTCTCTTATAGCGTCGTTATACTTAAGTGTTTGTTCTAGAGCTGCTCTACGAGCTTTTAGTTCTAAAWATGTGTCTTTAGCAGAGGAACGACTTGKTGATGATGCGTGTGAGCGGCGTGACCTTCGCGACGTGACAGATATGTTATCATCTAAGCTTTGTAACTTAGTGGATACTGCAACGCGAGTTTGCTCTACCGACGCTTTCATAGCAGCTAATGACTCTTCTATCTGAGATGCATGTGGTGTGTTTGTAGCAATTTTTAGCCATTCTGATAGCTTTTCTTCAGCCGAGCTGGCGAGCATAAGGCATGGTTTTTGTTCACTGTTTATTTGAACTTGATCTTTTGTTGGCGTATGCGCGTATGCGCGGAATGCATTCACCTTTTCATTATATTTTCTAGTTGCTAATTTAGCGTCCTTTTCTTTAAGAGAAAGTTGATATTCATAACCTTTCTCTGTTAAGGTTCTTTGACGTTCCATTGAAACGCACTTACTTGTGGAATTCGTTTTGTTTTGACAACATTCCAGCGATCCCACGAGGGAGTCTTGATCTCACTAGGCGGTGAGTAGCTTGAAATTCTTCTTCTTTTSCAGTAATTTGACTGTAGCGGAATCAGCTAGACATATAGAGGTTCCGTGAAACCATAAAAAACTTGACGCTCACAAACTTCACGGAGTCATCTTTAATAGAGTAAAAACTGGTACTAACTCGTCAAATTACTGTGAGCGTATGGACTCACATTACAAGATCGAATAACATATAAAGGATGACATAAAACACGTGATTACTAAAACAAACAGATGGTTAAAGATTACCAGGCACGTATGCCGTTACAAAAAGCATTTTTCTTTTTTGACTACAGAGAGCTGAAATAATAAATTAAGAACAACATTGTGTGAGTTTGAATTCATTTGTTAAGATTTCCTACTTTTATTGAGTTTTTCGTTTTTCCCCACAAGACCTTCAGAGAAAAGTGCAGTGCTTGGGCTACCTCTGCTGTTGTGAAACATAMTGAACTGAAGATGTTTTTTATTAAACCGTCGTGGTTTCCTACGCTTCTCTCGTGCTCTCCCTACATCCCGCGTGTTTTGATCAGAGTATCAAACACGGAATTTCGTCTTTTATTCCTTAATTAAAATGCTTCATATACAGATTTTGTACAGAGTTCAGTAAGCACGTACACGTGCAGTTTTCAACTTCAAACACATCGTCAGCTTAGAAAATGGCATCAATATTTTTCAGATGAGGTTTGATATGTTTTAGTCCATCGAATAATTATTCTTCTGTCAAAGTATAATATCCATGTGAAAATAAATATCCATGTGATTTCTTATTTGTTGAAGATTTTGTGATTGACATCGAGCACTTGTTGTGGCGACGTAGTGTTCTTCGTGTCGGCGGTAGAAAATGCCCAGTCATTTCTGCACGAATCATCCAACAACCTTGAATTATATACCTTATTCCATGTCATTTGGATGTTAGTCTGTTGATTTTGTTAGATTTTCAGCTCTTTAGAGTATTTTAGCTACATTTTAGACCCATTTAAAACYTGGCAACTTTTTGCCGCCCTCTGTCAGCCATTTTGTTTGYGTCTCCTGTGTTATCAGGCCACGTGACCATTTTTAAGTTCGTAAAGCATCATGGGGGACTATACGGCGACGTTGATAGATAGATAGATAGATTGAACAGAAGGCAGAACTTAAGTCGTGCCCAGGCCTAAGGCCTGCMCCCGACTAATAATAGCTAGCTCGACTTCACGCTGTAACAGCGTCTAGTTAAACATCAGATCGTAGTAGGCCAACTTCGTATCGAGTAATATTACGTACACAAAGCCAATATGTCAAATAATTTACCTTCTACATGTGGGAAAATCGTTTCTATGGTGCAAATAGCGAGCGAGTTAAATAAGGGTAAAAGCTTGTTGGGATGTTTGTAATTTCATTATTTTTCGAATTGTATTATGGGCTTCCTGTGGAAATGAAATCTGACACCATGAGCTGAAACAATGTGCTAGCGTCATTCGCACTYGTCAAGATTGACATTGAGCGGACAATTTTCACGTGAAATTCCTTTCTTTGGATATGTTGAAGAAATGCTGTTTAGCTGGTCTTGTGTTTATGACAATCCTTACGACTCTTCTGTTATGGAATGAATATTACTTGGTGAACAACAGCAGGAGAGGAGCAAGAAGAAAGGGTCGAGGGCGTGAGTTGAAATGTTTTTGTATGCTAATATTTTGACCGCTAAATCGTGCATTTATTGACTATCTAATAGACTATGTACACAATACATCATATCCKAGTAAATGAAATTCATATGCGGCTTGAATTTTCGAGGTAGCTCGTATTATACGTGACAGAAAACCATTGGCCAATGATAAACGATGTCATTGTTTATCTTTTGGCACATATGTGCAGACTACAAATCTYACTATACTCCATAGAAGTAATTGAATGACAAGTCCTAATGTCGCCTGTGGTCAGTTGAGAGTCACTTTGTGGGGCTTTACAGAGAGTCTATGATGATTATATCACGAAATCAGATCGTATTTCCAGTTTGCCGAAGCAGTAGTCACAACGTATAAAAATAACTTAATAGTAAAGTGAAATTATAAAGCTTAACAGATTCCTGTTTCACGAATAGAGGAAATGCTGACATTGTCACGCTAAAAAACGTGCTTCATCAATGTTAACATACATCGCATTTTATATATATTAAAAACATTTTATTTACTAACTGAAAACGAAAAAAGGACTCGAAGAGGAAAATTACATGAGAAAAAAATCTCAAAACCTGGTGCTATTATCAGTAACTGTCGTAACTCTACACGTGCAAACGGAAATGCTTCATGTTTGTACAGAGGTGCTTATACCGAATATTTGACAAAACTACCATGTGATCTTAGATTATTAGCGAAATTACTTTCTGTATTTTCATTTACCACTCACTGAACGGAAAAAGAATAACAAGCCTCTGTTTGCAGGTATATCTTCGTTTGCAGGTACGTCATGGAAAAAACTTTTTTCCCTAAAATTAGTAATAAACAAAATACAAGTAATCCATGTGAAAGAGCGAGTAAAAGTAAGTATCCCTGAGAATTTTTTCGCGCCGAAAGGAGTTTTATTTGCCAAGATATAAGCAATTTTATACGCTAATTTTTTAGAAGGAAATGTATGGCGAGGTCATGTTTATACGCTTTTACGGCACCAACATTTTTAGAGAGTTTTAAAATCAAAGATAAAATTTCGGTACTTTCACATAATAGACGTATTAACATTCTGTAGTTCTGTGAAATTTTGAGTCGAACCGAGCTTTTGTTGCAAGTTTATAAGCAATTTTATATGCCGATCTTTACAAAGAAATGTGTGGCGGCACCGTACTGGKAGTGGTGGACCTCTGAAGTCCATCAGAAATGGCGGCTAACTGTTATGAACATAATTTCGGGTACAAAGTAGCAAATATACCTTATTTTCACTACATTTAGCAATTCTAAATCTATATTAAAACAAAAAACTACGATTTAGAGGACGATGATTTCCACGGCTTTTCATYCGCGTGACCTGGCGTTGTGTGACATGACTTTGGCTACCAAATAAAACACGTTGTGCATCAAATTATTCGCTTATAAGTTCAAAAATTATCTCGAAACATAGTTTTCTAAACTATATTTTAGAGTAAAATCGATTTCATGGGAAATTAGGTTTAAATTAATTTTTTTGGATCTATGACGTAACGTGCAAACGAAGAATAGTCACTTTTTTCAAACCGTTTCGACTTGACTAGACCAATGACAATTCTTTGAAAGTAAGATATCAGTATCCTTTTATTAGTTACATTGGAGTATCGGATAAAGAAAGTCGTTATTGGTAAATATGAGAAAATCCATTCTGTAATACAAAATATTAAAATAAGTAAATATTTTATAAAGGGAGTATTTCACACCACAAGGTTGAAAATTTTACAAAAACTCAATATCAATATAARAGATAAAGCATGCATTATTTACATTAGAACAAACATAATTGGCTATAAATCAGTCCTTTGTTTGCAATATAAAACACTATAAATAAGAGCAGCTTGGCGAAACACATGTCGATACGATAGAACGCAGATGGAACAAGTGGACATTTCTATTCAACTGTATCAGACTACTGTGATACATACAATAAATGCAGTCATAGTGAACATTGGAACTTTAGTATAAAAGAAATTACAAAAYCAAGCTAACACTCAGGCCGAACGCTTTCAAGTTTGTGTTTTATAAACGATTTATGCTGCTAAATTACATATTATACGACAAAATTATTTTAGTTTTTAGTTTTTCTGTGGTTAACTTACTACAGCTTGACTTTCTATGATGATACGTTTCTTGAAGGTTTATGCAAATAACTTTCGTGAGCTGTACCACATGCCAATATGTGATTTTATCGGTAACAACATAGAATTACTTAGTCTAGAACTGGATCCCCTTTCGCAATTACTATGTTATTATATGAAAATATTAAAAATRTAATAACGCGGGCTAAAAGATTGAGAAAAAAGTCGGTACATAGAAATTGTTGGCGCATGCGCTATACCAGCCGATCACGATCGATCAAAAGAACCATTCTGAACACAAGCAATGACTATGAATCTGCAATCAGTGCTAGAAATAATATTTTGCGTCTCAAAATGATTTTTTTTAGTTTAGTAAGCCTTATTTTAATAATGCTTAAAAGCATTATCAGTGGCTTTTAAAAGTCTTCCCCCTCTCTTTATATATATAGTGTGAAGGAGGTCGCAAATCGTTAGACTGGATATATCATAATTTGAAATAAAAAGAAAAAGATAACTTCAATGACACTGAGATAAATCCCTGTCGAGAAAAAAAAAACAAAAAAACAACAACAACAAACCAAACCAAACCAAAACAAAAAAACAAAAAACAACAACAAAAAACAAACAAACAAACAAACAAAAAAAACGCTGGAAGATTCCCGCCAAATTCAGAGCGTAAACGCGTTAGCTATAGATTAGATGAAGTATTTCTTCAAAAGACAACAAAACCAAGCTTAAGCTTCAACCGTTTAGAACTTAACTCTGGGGAAAATATATCTCCAAAAAGGAAGCACAATATGATCTTCGACAACAATGAAATTCTGATGATCGCTTGTGGAATGCAGGAAAAGCTACGATGAAAACAATGATTTCTGAACACTTTGTCGAACAGGCCGTGGACTTATTTGCTGAAGACCAACGATCTTCACTGGATAGAAGAAGCAACAAAATCAACTTAAATCATACTCTGGACTTTACTCTGGAATTTTTTTTTTTGCTAATGACCAAAATTGAAGACTCGAAAAATTCAATATCTTCCAAAAGCTTTTACATGTCAAGGGAATCCGGCTGATATTTTTTTTGGCTGTTTCTTGATGAAAACGATTATCTAGAACATTTTAGCTGTTCCAGTAAAAAGAAGTTGAATATAAAAATATCTTGTTTGGTCTTAACTTTTAGCTCTTTCTCCGTCCGACATTTGGTTTGGCATATGAGAAAGGCATGGTGAAAAGTCATTCGAAATTTTACTTATTAAGCTTACATATCATCTTTATCTAACGCTTTGCTATGTACGTTACCACCGAATTCATGACGAAAAACCGACGGAAGACCGTTATTTGAAGAGTTGAAAAAAGTCGACGGCAAAAAGGGGCCATTTCATTGCGCATGCACGATATGCTTGAGCTACCTTGGTCACAGCACTGTTTCGCAGCTCGTTCTCTGTCAAGGTTACATAATTTACGTTCAGGAGCATACGCTTTTTCTTCTTCAACAAGTAATTGATTAGGTTCAAACATCGAGTCTGGTATAGATGACTTCACGCTTGACGATGAATCATGGGTAATCAGGAKAAGATTGCTAAGAGGCGATGGAAAAGAGATACGTTTTTCGCAATATTTCGTTTCTGGGTTAAGCATCCCAAAACAGACTCTTMCTGCAGATGGATAARTGACTGTTCAYTGTTTTGTGGCTATTTTTGAGCCGATCGGGTCATTCTTGCTGCGTCACGATTTTTTTKAATGATCAAATTGAGCTATTTTCATCGAGTCTTATCGCAAATCTACTGCCTCCGTCCTTCTGATTATCAGTGTTGCTTAATTGGCTCAAGAACATCACAATACATGGAATAGAGGTATCTCTATCAACTACAAAAGTTTGGTCCCGCAAATTTTTCGTCAGAACGGAAATATAGCGAAAAAAGTATCTCTTTTCCCATCGCCTCTTAGTAATCTTGTCCTGATTACCCATGATTCATCGTCAAGCGTGACGTCATCTATCGAATACGTATTGTAAGTGCCTTTCAAGTTAAATTTCTGGAGTATATCTGCTTAAAATATGATGAAAAGTCATACAAGYTGACAGACGGAAAAGATAAAATGGCGACTGAAATGTGGTCAAAACCATACTTTGTCGTTGGTATATCTTAAGAAACAAGACGCTCTGGTGCCTGTTCTTATAGCCATYTAAATTGGATGCTATTTGTACTTTGTAACAACATTATCGAGTGCAACAAATCTGCAAAATTTCTTTTGATTTTATGTATTATATTATCATCTGATCTTCTTATCTTATACTAAACAGGTGGGGGAAGTGGGCTCTAGCTRCCCCAATATATGGCTCAGAAAACATATTTTTAAATACATATAAACGTTTTTTTGATGAAATCCGCTAATTTTTCAAATGCTATCCGAACTCGGGACGTGCTCCGCAGTGKCTGATTATTATACTTTATGTTTTATCAAGCGCCACAAATACGCGCTTCCGCCACTAGACGTTTGATTGTTACAAACTACAATCCTGGACAAAACTTGTTGAGACACTGGCATTATTTCACTCCAAAATATCACCATTTCTCCTATCTCTAAAAAAATCACCGATTTTGATCTTCCCCTGCCCCCACCAAACAATGTTGTGTGTGTGTCGTGATGCTAGAAGGCTGTGCATGATTGTTCAGTCCTTTCAACATTGAATTGAGGGGGAAAGGGGGAGATTTGCACAGAAATATACAGATAGATCATCGAAATTCAACCTATTTTAAAAAA